TAGCTTCGAGAAGGCCACCCCGGGGAGTGCAGAGCTGGGCTCAGAACACCACATTGTGAGGTGATGCGCTGCCTACTGGAGTGAAGTCCTGAAGCAAAGCAGCGATCCTGGGGTGGGGCAGGTCGCACGAGTGAGCAGCTGCTAGAGAAACACCTTCCAGAAGGAAATGGGGCATGCATCAGTGCATGCTCCAGCCCCACATTCAGGCCCAGAGTAACTGATCGGTACCTATTAACTATGCAGCGACTGGTACCTGCGGTAAATACTGTGTCTGAACCCCAGGATCTGCTCATGTGGCCAAGGCATCTGGGACAAGCCCTCCCCCCCCACCCCCCATCAGTCTCCAGTCTTTGGCCTTCCCCTGAGTCAACTGCTATACATTTGCTGGCTGTCTTCCTCAGGGACAGCCACCTCTCTTCTCATCTTTGTTCTCTGACTCTGGTTCCTCCTTTCCTTCTCTGCTCCAGACCCCAGGCTTCCTTCCCCGCCAGCCCTCTCCATTCACAGGGGAGGCGCCTCCTCCGTGCCGCCCACCTGCCCAGTAAGGAGCCCACCTCGGACCCCAGGCCAAGGCGCCCCTCTGGGCCTGCACACTTCCCCACAGCACCCTAGGGCTTGAGGAGGACCCTTGCTTAACGTCAGGACATGGGACCCTGTTCACGCAAGGAGAAGGTGAGGCAGCAAAGAAGGAAAAGATGAGGGGTCACTGAATAAAGGCAGAAAATAGGGAAGCTTGTAGTTTCCTCCCACGCAAGGCTAGCTGCCCTGCTGGACGCCCATTCTCTGACTTCATTCCTACATGAGACTCCTTCAGAGGCCCCAGAAGAAATCTCGAGGAGAAATATTGAGCCCCATTTTTCCAGGTCTCACGCCTGGCTGTCACAGTGAAGTGGGTACATGTGGGGTTGCCCGAAGCGGTCACTGAGCACATGCTCTGCATTGAGCAGTTTCATATACGACCACTTCAGAGAGGTGAGATTCCTCTCATTTTTTAAGAGACCACGTCAGAAGCTTCAACTCTCTCCCCACCTGGAAGCTCTCCTCTGCGTCAAGCTTAAACTCTCCAAGTTACATTTCAAATCTCTGTTTCCTCTGACTCAGGCCCAGACCAAAATGGAGGCCAAGTAAGAGCTGTAGCCATACTCCTCTGACATCTCGTCGCCATCTCTCTCTCTCTCTCTCTCTCTTTAATCCAGGAGACCATATTTCTACATGGTCCTCCAGGGTTCCTCTAACACCGGATGAAGGAATGAAATGTAGAACCACCACTGCTGGGCACATGGCGGGTCAGTCGGTTAAGCATCGGACTCTTGGTTTTGGCTCCATTCATGACCTCATGGTTTGTGAGTTCAAGCCCCATAGCAGGCTCTAACCCTGACAGTGTAGAGCCTGCTTGGGATTCTCTCTGCCTCCCTCAAAATAAATAAACTTGAAAAAGAATTTTGTTTTTTAAATAAGGACTGCCACTCTCCTCCACCTGGGAATGACTGACCACCACCCATCACTGGGGGTTGATTTCTACCACTCCCCACCAATTTGTCCACGACTAGGGTTGAGATTCCACATGTCTACACCAGAAGGGCAACATTACTGGTAGTGACGGCTTTGGGAAAGCACACCTGGTCTCTCTGTAAAGCAGACACGTCGGGGCCATTATTGCCCCAAGTTTGCAGTTTTGGGGCATCTGGCCATTTGTCTGTCCACTTAGGTCAGGCAGTGGCCAGCGCCCCCAGCTCCCTCTTCTAATTCCTCTCTTCGGGTTCTGTTTTCAGTCTGCCTATTCGTCGGATCAATTTTTTTTATTAATAAATTTTTTATTATTAATAAACTGTGCTTCCGTCCTCAGTGCCCCAAACGTTACCTGTTTTCTCTTTCCCTTCCCTCCAGCAGACCAGCCACAGGTGGCCTTCCTGTCTTATCAATCTTCAAAAGACCTGCTTGTGCACAAATTGCTTCCTTTTTATGCTTTTTTACGACCCTTCTTACGTTATGCCTTTGCTATTCCGTCTTCAGCAAAGTAGGTTTCTATTTTCTCATGTAACCCTGGAAGCCCTGGAAATGAGATTTTCAGAGTTTCACTGCCGTTGCCTCTTGAAAATGGGGAAATAGGCTCCACGGTGCTAAAGGTCTGGCCAGAGGTACAACGGCCAGCCATGAGAAGGGCTTGGACTTGGATGTGAGATGCATCTTCTCTGACTCTGCAGGCTCCCCCTCTGCACCACCAGCCCTCGCCACCCCTCGCCACCCCCTGCCACTCCTTCTATAGGACCAGCGCTCAACAAAGAAACTTCCCTCCTTCTGTGCAGGGAGGGGCCGCTTCTCACTTCCTGTTGTCTGCCCTCAGACACCCCTCTGCTCTTCTGGCTTCTTCCCGTGGAGCTAATGACACAGGGCTTCAAACGCACCTCCCCCATCCTCCCATTTACACCCCCCTCCCCCTGCGCCTTTTTCCATCATCTCCTATTGCAATTTGCATACTTAATTTGTTTAACGCCACATATAACGAGTTGCTTCCAGACACAACATAGTAGCACCTACTAATACCAGCTGCGTTTCCAACAAAAATCCTAAAGCATGGTTTCTAACGCTTAGATGCCACGGAGAGTAACCAATTGCCTTGATGCCTCCCTGGACTGGGTCTTCCGGGACTCTGGCTCTCACTAACCGCTCCTCAAGCCCCTCCCCTCTTGCGCACTTGAGTGTCTTCCATGCTTTTGCATTTCTTGGCTTCCTGGCAGTGATCCATCCCTCTCTTTGGCCTCTAGCCGCCCCCAGGGGAGCCCCGGCTCTCGGAAACAGTGTCTCAGCACCCCCTTCAAATGGCTCTCCCTGTCTGGCCCTATTACAGCTACAGCAACCCCTCTTTACAAGCCAGAGAGGTTTTTCAGCTGTCTTAAATTTTACAATTCTGGAATTGATCTGTCACAAACTTCATCCCACTAGGGGAAGCAGGATAAAAATCCTGTCACATGTGGCAAAGGAACACTGGTGGGAAACCACGGGGAACCACGGACTGGGCCCAGCTCCACGCCCCACCTTCCCAGGGCAAACTGGCATTTAGAGCTCAAGCCTCGGCCAAGAGAACCAGCCTGGGAAGCAGTCAGAAGTGCTGGCAGCCTGATGGCCTCATACTAGGGAAAGGTCCCCAGCAAATGGATGCTGACAAGGGGCGGTGTATCTAGAATATTGTGAAAGCACCTGTAAGGAGCATGTATTGACCTACGCCAAGTGCACTGTGTGCTGTCCTCTGCTCTCTGGGAATCAGCTGACTATGGGGGTAGCGGCAGGGAAACCAGGGGGCGCTCGCTGGTTACCCCACAATGACCCCAGAGTCCTGACACTGATGTCTGGGCTCTGGTTCACTGGAACGTGAGTGGTGACATAGCCACCCATTTTCCTCTGTGTCCCATGTAGGTCAAGAGCATGCGCTAGCCATGGTCCAAAGTGCAAGAAACAATACCCCCCTTACTGGCTGCTTCAAAACGGCCCTGCGTCGTCTCCCCAACATTAGCTATTTGGGCGCCATCTTTGCAAATCTTCATCATACACGTGTGCTCTCGCTGGTTTGAAATTTGGCTTTCTGATCTACATCAATGTGTTTTCAAAGGAACTACTGCAGCTCGTATATGATACACCATTCTGGCTTGCCACAAACAGGAAGATGATCTTAAAAATAAATGGATCAATGACAAAGCGGCATGCTCTTCTGTGTCCCAACTTTGGGAACCCCAGAAATGATGTGGAAAATCCAGAAATGTTTCTCTTCCCCTCCCCGCACCCACGCCTAGCAGCCACCGTCTAATAGGACATGTAAGTCATAAGTGTACTTGTTTCCCTGGTTCAACTACAACAAATGGCTTTAGCCACTATCCTCGTCTGTGTGTACAATGAATTGTGTAGCTTTTTTTTTTTTTTTTTTTTGTAAAAGAGCACTTATCCCCAGAATGCTCTTGGTTTCTAAGACACATGGAAATAATACAAAATGCATTTCTTCGTTACTACATCAAGATGTCCTATAGAAAGATAGCTGTGCTGGCTTCCAGGACCCTGACACCATCACACACACCACCCTCCTTGGTGGTGGGACTTAAACAGCCGCTCCACAGGGGACCCATGCCACATCGTCTCCACCTGCGTGCCCGTCTTGATATTCTTTTGCGCAAATGCGTGGCTCTCAATATCACAGTTTTTTGTTTTTTTTTTTTACTTCAGAAAAAGAAAGAGAAAATAGGTATTCTAAGGAACCGTTGACTCATTATCTCATGAGAACATGGTACAAAGTGTGAAAACTAGTCTTTGAGTTAGAAATTGAGTCTAATTCTGACTCTGTATCTGACCTCAGTTATTTCACTGAACTTCTTGGGAACTCCGTTCTATATAATAAAGAGGGGAGACCAGGCTTTCCAAACATGAACTGTACCGTGTAAGTTAACCACGGCAGGGACTGTGGAAACTTCCATACCTCTTTATGGAAAAGGTATGTGAAAAAAGGCTTTTTTTTTTTTTTTAACATTTAACATTTCCTATTTTGAGTTAAGTTTGGCATTTAAGACATGCAGCAGAGAGGGTCGACATAAAATGGGCAGACTCGGTTTCTTCTAACCTGGAGCTCAGGCTAACTCACCCTATTGCATTAACGCATAAAATGTATAATTTTCACTACCTAGAGTCCCTCAAATTGGGTATTCCTGTGGCACCCTGAGGACAGGAGGAAGCGCTAGGGACGTGCCCCAACTCGGGGTGCTCTGCCACTGTGCTGTCTGGCCCGTGCATGTGGGTGTCACAGCCATGGTGACCTGTCCGTCCTCCGGCACACACGAGGGCCCCATCCTGGTGACCTTCACCCCGCACCTTCCTAACACAGTGGTTTAGGGGGGAATGGCAGGTAAGATGATCCCACTGCTTGACCGATGACTGTGAAAGGAGACGAAGGGACCCAGGTGCTAGGAGAACAGAGTGTGCCCCAGCCCGCCAACAGGACGCCTAGTCGGCCAACTCACCCACTCCTCTCTCGGACTTGGAGCTCTGCTGTCCCCCAGACGTGGTGGAAAGGTCTTCGGGGACGGGCATGGGTTCATCCCCATCATCCGGAGTGTCACTCACGGGGGGGCTTTCCTTCCCTGGGGAGACAAGTAGCAGCTTGAGTTTCCGGGGCCGCGGTCGCTGCCGAGGGCAGTGATTTATACGGATTTCCGTATGATGGAGAATATGAGGTGGCCTAGCTCATCAAAACCAATGGTACTTTTCAGACATTCTCACCATCGTTGTTGGGTGCCAGTGACCCAACTTCCACAGCCTCATTTATGATGTCTGTGTGACACCCCCTCCCGTGGCCACACTAGCATTTATTTAAGTCCTTTTTCTCTTTTTGAACTTATTTATCTTTTAAAATTTTTTAATGTTTATTTATTTTTGAGAGAGAGAGAGAGAGAGAGAGCACAAACAGGGAAGGAGCAGAGAGAGAGGGAAACACAGAATCCGAAGCAGGCTCCAGGCTTTGAGCTGTCAGCACAGCCTGACACGAGGCTTGAACCCATGAATTGTGAGTTCATGACCTGAGCCACAGTCGGGCACTTAACCAACTGAGCCCCCCCAGATGCCTCTCTCTTTTTGAATTTATATTGCTTTCCATCTTTCTTCCTCTTAAACGACACCATGAATATCCCAGTAGCCAATGTTTGCACATGCTGTTAATAATCCTCACAGTCTAAACCCCCAGAGGGTTTGTGCAGAGGTCAAAAGGCACCTACTTTTTTCAAATTTTATTTATTTCTGTATTTACTTTTATTATGGGGGGAGTTACAGAATTGAGAGAGAGAGAGAGAGAGGGAGAGGGAGAGAGAGAGAGAGAGAGAGAGAGAGAGAGAGAGAGAGAATCCCAAACAGGTTCTATGCTCGGTGCAGAGCCCGATGTGGGACTCAATCCCACAACCCTGGGATCATGCCATGAGTTGGAAGCTCAACCGCCTGAGCCACCCAGGTGCTCAGGCATCTACATTTTTGAGACTAGCCACACAGTATCCCACGTTCTTTCCTATAAGGTGGTTCCAACCTACCCTCCTGCAATCAGGCTTCTTCCCACCTTCCTATTCATTTGTGTTTAAGGTCAGCTGACTGATCATTTGCTCAGAGCTACACATGCTGGGGCTGCTCATCACCTTTTCGAGAGCTAGGGAATATTCTGCCAGTGGCCTGATTCAATTCCACCTGGCAGGGAGAGCAAGCTCGGAAAGAGAAGGAACAGGGAATCCAATGCCTCCTGAGACCACGATTCTCTCTGTGAAATTCTCACTTTGAAATACAATGAAAGGATCCACACAATTAAAAAGTCACTTTTCCTTTGCAAAGCGAGATTTAGCAAATGCAATAGGGTCTTACAGGATTGCTAGATCTTTTCTGACTGTGTTAGAATCACGTTTAACTGGAGGCTCCCCCAATGAGGAGCCCACTCTCCCCTCCGACTCCCAGAAATCCAACGCTGGGAAGCTATTACTGGTAGAAAACTCTTCTTTTCCCTTGAAATTGAAACACCTGTATCTTCTAACCTTCTAGACATAACTTAAAATTGGGTTAGGCAACACAAACCACATGCAAGAAACACTTGGTGAGGCCCAAAGCTGACCCAAATAACCCATCAGGGCCACGGCAGACCAGGGGAGACAAAGACCCTCCAGGAGGTTAACAGAAAAGTGGAAGGTGGAGTTAAATGTTTACCAGCTGGGCTGGCTACCTGGCTTCACAGGCAAAGGACATCCACGCACAGATGAGCGCAGACATTTGGGAGAGTGCACAAACCATCAGGACCCAGAAAACACAGCTAGAAAACACTCTAGCTGGGCTGTGATCACTACAATTGGCATGTTTTCAGACAGAGCATTATTGGGGATACCCAGGTAGCCAGTACAAGACGGATCGTTAACGATGGGGCAGGATTGTAAGGGTTTCTCAAGAAAATAAGGAAAGCCAAAGAGTAACTGAGGGCAAGTGAGTGATGTGAGAGCCTTTCTAAACGTGCACAGCGTCAGTCACATTTCAGGTGCTCTATGGCGAGGACAAACAGAAGCTAAATGTTGCAGTGTTATCCTTTCTCTGTCTTGTAAATGGGGAAAACCTGGGCAGGAGAATGTGGGAGGAAAATGGACCATCTGATAACTGGTTTTTCCTTATGACTGTCGAGAGCAATGGCCAAGAGAACATCAGGGCGTGGTCAGAAGATGATTCTTCGCCTCCTCCTCTTCCGCCTCTTCCTTTACCTTCTCCTCCTTCTTTCGGTAAGATGGATCTTACACAGAAGTTCAATACAGAAAACCAGTCTTCTGTGTAAAGTAGGGACACGGCATGGTGGGGAGGCTGAAGGCCATCTGCCTTCTCAAAGACCTTCTGACAAACCCCCCAGAACAGATGGTGGAGACCCCTGGCTGAACCAGCTGAACCAAAGGTTAAATGTGTATAGAGTGAGTTAGGTGGTGCACACGTGTGTTTTTATGATGAACCAACTGTCATTATCATGGGGTGGGCGTGGGAGGCCGAGGAGCTAAGCTTTACGAGCCTATTTATCTTCTCTGTGATGCTTGCTTCCCTTTGAGATATTCCATGATGCTCTCAGAAGAAGAATCGGGACTTCTCCAATGAAGGAACATGGTCTCCAATGCTAAAGTACGTGCAAGTACCTCTTGATTCCTCTTCTGGCCGTTTAACTGCTCTGTTTATTAGGCAACAAGATCAACCACACATTATGGACGATGCTCATGTAAGAGATGGGCATCCTAAGAGTCCTGTGGGTCTGGTCAGGCTCCAGCACTGCGTGAAATGCCAGCTCTCCAGGGCCCGTCATCCTGTGTCTCAGCCCTCCCACTGCTTCCAGCATGGGGGAGAAAATGCCACCAAGAGGGCGGTAGCGATGATGATCCCAAGATACCATGGGTCAGACTGGTCAACAGGAGCGGGGCACACACCCCGGGGAGAAGGGACAGTAAACACTCATCCCTGATGCATACAGTGGTGTTAATAGAAAATCAGACCTGGTAGAGAGCAGAGGGATATATATTCACCTTCCCTCCGAGGGCTCTGCTGTCACACAGCCTGACCTCACTTCCAGTTACTGAGAGTTTTAAAGAGGTGGTCCAATTTGCCTAAAAGTCCCCCAAAGTTTGGGCGGCCACTAAGACATGAATCACTCACACGAGCCCTCATGCCCCGTGGTCCATGGAGGCTCTCCCTGTGGGAGATTTCTATGATGAACACTTACCCCTTGGTGAAAACCTTCTTGTTAGGTGAAAATGTGTGTGTGTCACTCTTAAACAGATGTGCTCGGTTAACCCTTTAAAAAATGCAAAACCACGGGAAGCACTATAAAAGATACACATGGAGGGTCATTAGGTCAACACATCCTGAACACGAAGACAGTGCGACTGGAAGTCACCTGACCCAGGATATCGGTCAAACAGAAACATGGAATAAGTCAACTATTAAGACAGTAGAATGAGGCTAACAAGCACGATTTTGGCCAATCTCACAGTCCTGTTTGGAGCAATAACTCACAATAATTTGCAAATGCTAATCTGTGGAAGGAGCTTACGGAACTGTTCTGTTAACGGCAGCGAGCCACAGAAACACAAGGTCTGTGTCACACCAGGTGCCTGTATGAAACACATCACATCACACTGTCCAGCGGACGGTCATTATTTTCATGGAATAATTTAGGAGGTGAAGTATGATTTCACTTAGCTAGAAAAATTAGAGAAACTTCCTACCAATTTGTATTTAATCTTCCTACCGCCTCGGCTTCAAATAAAGCACAGGTAATCTGTGAGAAGTATTTTGGGCAAATTAGATGAGAAAATTGTATAATTTGCTTATCAGAAGCAAGTTCAGTTAATTTTCCAAGTAGGTTATAATTCATGCAACAAAGGTCTGTGATTCCCCATCTCACAAATGCAAGAGTGGGGTTTTTTTCAATTTTATTTAAATGTTTATTTATTTTTGAGAGAGCGAGAGACAGAGTGTGAGTAGCGGAGGGGGAGAGAGAGGGAGAGAGGGAGACACAGAATTGGAAGCAGGCTCCAGGCTCTGAGCTATCCGCACAGAGCCCAATGTGGGCTTGAACCCATGAACCATGAGATCATGACTTGAGCGCAAGTCAGACGCTTAACCAACTGAGCCACCCAGGTGCCCCAAGAGTGGTTTTTATATACGATGACCCAGGAGAACATAATTTCTGGGAGTAAATAAAACTCAGAGTATAGATTCCCAACTCTGGAATAGTGGGAAAGCTTGCAACCCAGTGCCCTGTCTGGTTCCCTGTGGGACTTCTGGTCACTCACCGAAATTCTCGAATCTCACTCTGCAAATTGAAAATGGTACCTGGGAGCTGGGTCCACTCACCCTTCAGTACAGATAAGCCTTGTTTCCCTGAGCAGTCTCTGTTACCTACGGAGCATACCTCTCCTTTCCACGAACCAACAAACATCATAAAGACTATTAAGAAGACCTCCAACGTAGCTTTAGGGTCATAGGAGCCCGAGGACCATTCAGTGTCAACTGGTTCACATCCCTCATTTTGCAGAGGACGCTACGGTGGTCCAAGAGGCAGGAGACCCACCTCAGGTCCCCTAGCTGGGGACAGAGATGAGATATGGATATGGGCCTCACCATCCCTATTCTCATACAGGCTGTCTCTTCCTTTGGAAACGAAAACAAAAAATAATGCATAGCCATGAAAATATTCTGGAAAGGTTGCCAAACAAAAACAAAAACAAAATGAAAACTAACAAACTTTACCCAAAGAATGAGTGACTTGTGCCCCAAAGTTAGGGAGAGGCTGGGAGTGCCTGGGTGGCTCAGCCTTAAGCATCCAACTTCAGCTCAGGTCATCATCTCGCGGTTCGTGGGTTTGAGCTCTGCGTCGGGCTCTGTGCTGATAGCTGGGAGCCTGGAGCCTGCTGGATTTTGAGTCTCCCTCTGTCTCTGCCCTTCTCCCACTCATGCTCTGTCTCTCTCTGTCTCAAAAATAAAATAAACTACAAAAAAAAATTTTTTTTAAATAAGTGAGGAAGAGCCTGCTCTGTGCCGACCGTCCACCAAATCTGTTCAGTAAGCTGGTCTCAAGTCGTGGGTATGAGTCAGTAAACACTTGCTGGGTATCTACCCTCAAGACCCAACTGACCAGGGCTCAGTCCACATTTAGGATAAACCCCCAGGAAGAAAGAACCAGTGGCTTGAAAAACTCAGATATTGACTCTTTCTTTGTTTTCCAAGTGACTGTGTCACAGGTACAAGGCTGACTGGCCATGGCATTGCCAACGATGGAGCATTTTTGAACCCAGCAAACTGGCACAGAGTTCACGGGGTTCAACTCGGAAAGTCTGTGTTTTTTCTTCCCTGGGGACAGAACCTGACACTGAAGAATTTTATGGGAAAAGAGGGTGATTCCGTGACACATTTCTCAGCATATTGAGAATGTCAACTCCTGTTTGACTAAATGAACACCCTTATTCCACAACGAACTGTCACTGCCCTCGATTTCAGAAATGGAAGAGAAGCAGCGATGTGTCTGGATGTGAATTGGAGAATCAGCAAGAAGCAGAAGTATCCTTCCCTCTTTCGGGAACATGGCACAGCCCTTCAGATGCTCTGCTCAATGCTAGGTTACATCGACCAGAAGTGCCGTTCACGTTCTGGAAGGAGCATTTCCTTTGCTGAGTGTCAACAAACTGCATTTCAGACCAGATCTAGAATCTTCTTGACCACAGAGGCGTTTCCTTTTTCAGGAAGTCCTGGGCCGTGGGACTCCATGCATTCTTACACCTGTCCCCCACTTTCAAAAGCCAACATCTAGAATAAATGGAGCATTTTGCATAATGGTAAAGGGCAGGAAAATGAGAGGAAAATGAGGCCTTTGTTATTGTTGTTAATGAGATATGAGACCAAACAGTCTGGAGATGTCCGCTCAGGTCAGGGCTGTCAGCTCTGGCTTTGGGACCTCAGAGGACAGAGGTTTCATTCAAATGTCACCTTAGAAGCTACCCAAGGGGCGCCTGGGTGGCTCAGTCGTTAAGCCTCCGACTTCGGCTCAGGTCATGATCTCACGGTTCATGGGTTCAAGCCCCGCGTCGGGCTCTGTGCTGACAGCTCAGAGCCTGGAGGCTGTTTCAGATTCTGAATCTCCCTTTCTCTCTGACCCTCCTCTGCTCATGCTGTCTCTCTTTCTCTCAGAAAAAAAAAAAAAAAAAAAAAAAAAAAAAAAAAAAAAAAAAAAAAAAAAAAAAGAAGCTACCTGAGAGAGAGCAGAAACAACGAAACGGTCTCTTTGCCTTTGGAAGATTTTAACATCCCCCATTTTTTGACATGCTAAACCCCTCTCCATGAGGCTTCTGGCAATCCTGGGGTGGGACCCGCTTCCCCAGGGAGGGCACACACCTCCTCCAGGCATGCATGTCCACTGGCAGCCGCCAGCCCCCCAGCCCAGGTCAACAGGAGGCTTCCAAGAGCCAATCTATCCCTCCACTGTCCCACTGAAATAGTATTTTGTTGTTGCTGTCGTTATACTCCTGTTTCAGAATCAAAGAATGTGTCTGAGAGAAATAAATGCAAATAAAACTTAAAGACATAAATCCTGTAAGGACATAAAGCCTCCCCTTTTCTTCCTCCACAGCCTGACCTCGTTCTCATCACCAAGCTCCTGAGGGGAAGTCTAGATCGCTACCTACCCTTGCAGAATCTTCTTCAACAAGCAAGCATGTAGACTGAGTTTGTGTGCATGCATGTGCGTGCACATGTATGATTTATTTCCCTTTCACAGAATGGATCACGCCTTGCATACCATCCTGAACGCCGCTTTCACTTCGGCATCTGCCTTGGACCTGTTGCAGGATGAAGGTTTTCACACCATCCTTGTTCGTAAGAGCGGTCTGAATCATGGGTCGATGTGCCCAAGTTCTCAGACATTAGCGTCAATGCCGCTGGGAGCGTCTGCCTCAATGCCCTGTGCACTTGTGGGTGCAAATCTAGAAGGAACTCCTTTAATACAGCAAAGGTCATGCAGGGGAACGCCAAACTGCCAGCCAGTTTTCACTTCCGCCGAGGTACGTGACTCACTGACATGGCTGGGCCAACAGGCTAGCCTTGGCCTCGTTCTCTGTAGCCTGGGAGTTTAAGTCCATACTTGCTGAGTGATGAGACGAGCTGGGCCAGCGGAGGCGGGAGACGTTTGGGATTGTGGCATGAACTTGAACCTTCTCTCCTGCACATTCTCCAGTGAGCAAACACCCACCAAGTGGGGCAGCAGCCACACCTAAGATCTCCATCTCCGCCATGAGGACAGACTTAGACCAAGACACAGAATTCAATGAGAACTTGGCAATGAGTGGGAACAGGTCGGTCAGGCCGATCATGACAGGCCATTCTCCCAAAGAGGCCAACCTGGGACTGGCCATGAGCCTGGGAGGCTCTAAAAGGTAAAATACTGAAAGCTCCAAGCCCAGACGCAGGACCCGACAGAGGGTGGGCTTCCCATGCCTAGGAACCCGGGAACCATGCAGGCTTTGCGGGATGGGCTGGTGGGTCCTCCTGCCCAGCACCAGCAAGGGGGACACTTGGGCCTCACCCCCCCATCACCTCCATGTCCAGGGTCCCCCATGATGAGAAGAGCCACGTCCAATATGGCTTGAAAAAATGTTCGGCAAAGGGGAGCAATGTCTAACAGATACTTTAAATTGTGTTTTTCGGGTTTCTTTCTCCCTCTGAAACACCACCGTTGGTATGTGTCTGGGGTCCAGAGCAGATCGATCAGTTATTTCCTCACCTCTCCTCCCCCCCACCCCCAAGTATCAGCCTATATTGAACCCTTTCCAGGCTGCCCTTGGATCTCACAGGAAAGCTAATTTCATCTGGGAAATGTTTCTGTTCAGGTTCTCAAACTGAGATGAACTCAAAGAGTTGACAGAAAACATGGACACCAATTCCACGTTGGTCTTTCCTCTGGCAGGAAAACCTGTCTTCCTCCCTCGGGAACTCAGCGAGCACCCAGGCCCCTGGCACCCGGCGGAGGCTTCCTCACGGGCCCCCCATAGAGGTCCCCCGTGAGAGTCTCACCTGAAACTCGGGACATGTCTTGACCCTCATCAGCGTCCATTGTCCTCAGGTTATCTGAGAAAAAAAGAGGAAGGGATTTTAGTTTCAAGAAAATGACTAATAAGATATGAAGAGAGCAAGAAAGAGAGAGCGAAGCTCTATGCATTTAACAACAAGGTTATCTACCAAGAATAATGCATTTTCCTCCTCACATACTTGCTGGAGTATCAGCCTGGCACAGACCCTGATCCTTTTAAAGACAGCATTACAAAGATTTATAAAAATATCATTACGCACACAGGAGGACCAAATTTGTTATTTATTGTTAATTTCCTACTGCATAATAACCCAAAATGCAAACTGACTGCAACAAAATTAAGCAGAAAATTAAATGGCCCTGGGTCATTGTAGGCACAGAATTCATTCTCTTGGCTGGTCCATAGTTATGTTCTTTCTAATTTACTGAGCATGCATCGATGAACCTTGAGTCAGCTTGGTGACACGCATACACTCAGCAATCAAAAAACGAAGCAATTTGCTGAAGAATGTCTCATTTACCCAGGCAGGGCTGCATATCTGAGCAGCTCTCGCACTCTCTCCATCAATAATGAATACACCTCCAGCCTGGCAGATGGGCACCGCGGCCGCTTCCGTCTTTGTCCCCGCTCTTTCAGGGACCCTGCCTCAGACGTCGCCAGCGCGCTCACACAGGAAGTGAAGCTCACGACGGCCGGAGAACAGGGCCGGGGCAGCGCCCAAACCTTCCTGTTTGCTGACACATGGCTGGCCCCTCACGCTAGTGCAGGGACAGAAAACCAAGTGGGAAGGACAGCCCTGGAGGGTGACAGCGAGAACTCTGCCCCACATACCAGGCAGAGGTCAGTGCTCATTGGCCCTGGCCTGACCTCGGAGGTTGGGGGAGCCCTAGGAAATGACATCTGGAAGTCCTGTGGGTCAGAAAGCTCTGGCCGGCAGAAGGTCCGGGACCTCAACAAAATCTGCTCATTCATGCTCTGCTGGACAACCTCGGGACAGAGCCTCCTCTAAAGCAGCAAACTGGGTCTATATGACCAGCCTAAATCAGGCCACCTGTGGGTCTGGGGGGGACCCCATCTCTGTCTCTTGGGTTTAGGTGGGTGGATCTGAGCCCCGCGAGGCCAGTTTTCACCCCACTCTGACACTGGTGGAGAATTCAGGGGCCCTTTCCCTCTCCCATTCGGCTGAGACTACACAGGCAGGAGCAAATTTATGCATATGTCTAATGACACATGCCTACACGGTGCGCAGAATCCGTATCTTCCATATCTGTCGTATGGGACCAGTCACAGAGGAGACACAGATGACTATCACTGTTTTTCTGGACGGGGAGGGGTTTTCAACTCTTTCTAAAGCCGCTGCATGGGTCTGAATTGGGGCAGGAATTTTCCAGGCCGGAGTGTGTGGTGCAAGGTGACGGCCGCTGACCACAGGACGGAAAGGGGCTCAGAGCCCACATGTATTTCAGCCCTGGGACAGAGGGTCCGTGACAGGCGGGAGCCAAACACACCAGCCCCAGAAGCAAACCCGACACTGGCATGTGTCTGAGCGTCCAAGGCACCAGTCCTTCTATGTAAAACAGGTAAAACTCTACGATTCTTTGGAAACCGCCAAAACAATGACACAGCCGGATGAGGAAACTCTGGAATCTCCGTGCAGTGTTAACGCAAGGTCTGGTTTTCGGAAGGTGAGTACAGTGTTTTACCGCGGAATCGCACAGACCCATCTTGAAATGTCCCTGGGTTGAGTGGGAGACAACTTGTTGTTACAAAAACTCTTCTAAATAAACACTAGTCTAGGGGCTGGGAGACAGGTTCCTGATTAAAAGAATAAAAGTATGGGGCGCCTGGGTGGCTCAGTCGATTAACTGTCCAACTTCAGCTCAGGTCATGATCTCACATTTCATGGGTTCGAGCCCCGTGTCGGGCTCTGTGCTGACAGCTCGGAGCCTGGAGCCTGCTTCGGATTCTGTGTCTCCCTCTCTCTCTGTGCCTCCCTCACTCTCCTCCCGTCAGAAGTAAACATTAAAATAAATAAATGAACACTGGTCTAAATAAAATACTAGTCTAAACAAATCTTGTTACAGCAAAAACTAGTCTAACACAAAATTTGTAGAATGTTGACCTAGAATCTTCTTGCTATGCAAGTGATACATTTTTTCAACTTTTTTTTTTCAAGGCAAGAAAATGCCCATAACTCCTACCACTTAAGACCACTCAATTTTGTGTGTCTGTGTATGCGTGTTTGTGTACACACACAGAGCTTTGGACAAAAAGAGCATGCTAAATCCATTCCAAATATACTGTGGTGAAATGTTTTTTCATTCCATTCTGCACCTGTTTTTGTATTTTGCCAATCTACATCGACGTCCTCATTTTAATGGCTACGCACAGCTCAGTGCAGGGAGAGATCTATCCAGCATCCCATTGTAGATTCCAGCTATTTCCAAGCACAGACTGTCTCCTAAAGCCTCACAGATGGCTGCCCACCTTGGCTCTCAGGGAGGTGTCCTCCCTCATGGTGGTGGCAGAGAGGGGGGACCCTCCGGGTTTGAGGCAAGGGGCAGAATCCATTCACATCAGGTACCCTGTCATGGTGGTTCAGGCGGGAGATGTGACAGGTGACACAAAGCAGAAAACAGAGGGTCTGAGACCCAGATCAGGCTCTGCTGGGTGGGAAAGGTCTGCCCTGGGGAGTCACCTCGCCTGTGCGCCCTGTGTGTCCCCTCCAGGAAGCGGCCCTGTCTCAGCAGCCGTCTATACACTCAGGGCGGTGTGCTGGGGGCCAGGGATTGAACAGAGGACGGTGAATTTGTGTCAACACACCTGTTTCTATTCTCACTAAGTGTCCACACCCACACCCCACCCCCACCACGTGGGACTCCGCTGGGTAATCAGCACCACTTAGGTTTTCAGACACACTCTGAAGGAACCCTACTCCACGTGGGCGTGTGGCCGTGCTCAGCCAGCCCCCTTGCTCGGGGCTATTGCCTGCTTGTTACCACGGCTTTGACCTTCTTGATAATTCGGGGACAGGGGCCACACGCACCATGAGTTCTGTAACTAGGCTTGCTTGCCATCACATGGCAAGGGGGGCGAAGGGGGGGACTTGACTAGGTCCCTCAAACTTCCCCCAAGTCCAAATTTGCATGTCTTGGGATGGAACCATCGTTGAGTTTTTTTGTAAAAGTGACTGCTTTGAAGCAAAGATCAGACAGATGATTTGGCAATGGGAAACTGATATGAGGGTGAGGAAATTCCATCCCGTCCAAGACCCGAGATGACAGAGGGGCAGCTTTGCGGGGGGTCGTGGAAGGGGGGGCAGGGCTCCACCCCATCCCCACTGCCACATGCACACCCCAGGCTCTGTGCTCATTTTCAGACAGCCTCCTGAGCCCTCCTCTCCCACGTGGAAGCGGTCTGTGTCCGGCGTCAACGGGAAAGCAGAGAGCTTGGCCGGGACGGGGTCTCTGCCCATGAAGGAGCTCACGATCAGAAAGAGGGGTTCATCACAAAAGTGGATTAGCAACTTGTTTTCAGAAACCGGCACCTAAACGCAAGCCAGGATCACAGGTCTATAGAGCGAAATGCCAGGGGGAAGGGTGACTTCACAGAAGTCAACTGTGATTTTCCACTCCACCTGGGACACCCAGACACCTGAGCACCTGAACCGACCGACGGCAGCGACAGACACCCGTCGCCTGGGCAGTTCCTACGGCCCTGAATGCTTTTATTGTTTCCTTGGAGCCCGCGGTTCTGAAACTTGCACAAGGAGAAACAGATGCAGAGATAAGTGGAAGCCGGCGTGACAGCGGCTGTCGGGGGCCGGCCATCCCTCCAGGGGAGCAGAGCCCGCGGTCAGAAGCCACTGCCCACCGTCATCTGGCTGGTAGTCACCGAGCCTAACATCTCTTGCTGTCTCTCCATCCTTCCTCCCTCCTTCTCTGTGTCTGTGTCTCTGTCTCTCCCCGGTCCTTCTGCTCACATAGGACTTTGCTGGTTTCAGTTTGATGGAGTTGGCCTATCAGCGACTCTGGGACACAGCAGGTGCAGAGATCAAGCAAAAGAACTGAGAGACGGGAGCAATGGCGGCCCAGCACGGTGGCCCAGCACACTTCTCCCTCCCCCGCAGCCAGGCCTGGGGAGACATGTACTTCCTGCTGGTGCCCACCCCGTGGAGGAGCCTTGGGGATGGGGAGACTTTGGAAACACCCCTCCGCCACCTGTCCCTGTCCTTCTTTCCTTCTTCCACACCCACGACAGACTGGGGACCTGGCTATCCCCTGGAAAGACGCATCCAACCGCCCTGGGCAGTCGTGACTCCTGAGCCAGGAGCTGGGCAAGTCTCCAGTATGTCCTCACTTCCACCTGAGAGCGAGCAGGCAGCCCCAAGAACAGTCCCCAGAGCCACAGGGAGCCTCAAGGGCCACTGGCACGTGCGCAGGGCTGGCTGCGGTCCCCAGGCCCTCCTCAGCCTCTGGACCATCTGTCCCTTCCCTTCCCAAAGATGAACCCCTCTCTTCACATCACTTGCTCTGAAATCTCCACGCTCGCCGGTAATTCTGAAACGGCGAATCTGAATTAATGAAGTCAAAATGAAAAGCCAGCTGCCCGTCAAGAACCACAACTTGATCCCTTTTCGAGCGGCCCAGAGCCATGGCTGCCCTAGCACGGCTAAGTGCACAGCGTGCCCAAGTGTCCACGATGAACCCTGGTGGTCACTCAGCACGAACCCATTCCCTGGGAGCACACAGCTCCTCTGCAAGCTTTAAAAAAAAAAAAACAAAAAAACAAAAAAAAAACCTCAGTTCTCTGTGGTTTAACCAGTGGACACAAACGAAAGAAAATGCCATGTTTGCGCAGCACGAGGCTGTTAATAAGACTGCCCTGCGTGTCTGCGAGTTGCCAACGGAGCAAATCTTAAAAGCCCTCGTGGTGCAAAACGGATTTTTTTGGAAATTGGTGTGGCAACGGATGTTAACTCTGCTTATCGTGGTGATCACTTTGCGATGTACACAAATATTGAATCATGATGTTGTC